GCTAGTTTTTGTGTGTGTGTGAATTTATCAATAAAGCATGTCAACTTTCTCTGGCTATTTGAAGACACCCGTGTCATAACTCACAAGGGTTTCTTGGGGTTGTTACGACGTGATAGTTCATCACATATTATTCCTAGTAAGAGATGGCATCTCTGCTTTCATGGAAAACTGATTCATTATAGGGAATTTTAGTTGTTTGGTGAGATTTTCAAACTTATATATGCATTGCATAGGCTCTATCCCAGTGGTTCTTTCTGGTAAATTATTAAGTTTGTGTGTCACATTTTTTCTTTCTTTTGCCACTTCCTTGGTAGTTTACTTAACATGGTTGAGGAACTAATTTGTACAGGATAGAAGCAAGAAGTCACCAATGGAACTGATCAATGAGGTTCCACCTATCAAAGTTGATGGAAGGATTGCTGCTTGTGAAGGAGGTTTGTCTCTTCTTCTCATCAATGGCTAATGATATTTAATTTAGTAAGTATATCTGATGATCGTAAACTAGGGATTTGATATATAACTTGGCTTTTATATAATTTGTAGACACCAATCCTGCCCTTGGTCATCCCATTGAGTTCATATGCCTCGACCTAGACGAGCCTGCGGTTTGCAAGTATTGTGGCCTTCGTTACGTTCAAGATCATCATCACTAATGAAGCAAATTCTGAAAGTGAAATCTCTGGTCTCTCTCTTCCCTTTTTAATTGCATTGTCAAGTTTGTGTATCGCTTTTGTGATGCTCCGACATCTTCAGATACCATATTTAATAAAGGATTCGATCAAAGTCGGGAAAGTGTGATTTTGTTTGATCTCACTTCCTCTCTCGTTATGTTGTAACATCCAATATCTGATTTCATGCCACTGAGTTCAGTAAAAGGCTTGGGGTTTGCTATAACCAGCGTCGAGTAATGGCTCTCTTTTTCCCAACTTTGGTAATGGCCTTTTATGCTACCAAGAAGGCAAGACACATGAAATTTAAATTTTTAAATAAACTCACGTTATGGAGTTTTTTTTTTCTTTTACAAAAATTATACTCGTTTGAAGGATTTTCTCACCACTTTTTTTTGGTTGACATCAATTGATTTTAAACAAATATAGTTCATTGAACTATTAACGAAAATAAAATAAAATTAAGCGTCATAATATATGGCATAATGAAGCTCACTTTGTTGGTAAACAGAATTGCACGTGAAGAGCATGTGCCATAAAATAAAAGACGCAAACATATATAAGCTAGCCCACGCGCACACATAGCGCGTTGACGCCACGAGACCAAAAAGGATAGTCTAGGGATTTCGTCGTTTTTCAACGAAACAAAAAAGAAAGGCGCGTGGAGATTTTATTCGAACTAATGTAGTTTGAGCTTTGCTAACGTCAAAATAATTTAAAGCGAAGTACAAAACCTCTCCTTAACCAAAAAGGAGAAACAATAAGATTTTAAATCTCTGCCTAAACTTCCGAAACAACATCAGAGAATTTTGAGCCTCTTTTTTCTTCTTGTTGTCTCTTTGCAAAAGTGTGAACGTAAGGCAACACTTAAATGTTGATTTAACTTTTAACATATAAAAATCTCATTTCGAATCGGTTCCAGCCAATTTTCTTCTCTGTTGATGCTCTGCAACTTTGTATTCCACAACCTCTCTGAATAGCGTAGAGTCCAACACACAGTCCTCACTTCCATAAACAGCTGCTTGAACACTTGCCATCAGTTTCGCAATCTCTCTACCTGAAAACCCTTCGGTTTTTCCAGCCGCTTCCTTTAAGAGCTCTTCCGTAACACCCTTTATCTCGATCTTCTGCTGCTCTTTCTTGAACAGGCGGTGGAACAACCCCGGCTTTCTTGGACCAGCCTCGGCTATGTACTTTTCTAGATAAAGGTTTAGAAGCTTGAACCGCTCTTCTTCTCCTGGTAAGGGGAATTCGAGAACCTCATCCACACGGTCAGCCACAGCTGAGTCTAGGTCACCAGGTCGGTTTGTCGCAAGTGCTAAGACTATGTCTTTGGACTGGTCACCCGTGCGGAAGAGAAGAGCATTTAGTGCACTCCTTTGGGCTTCACTCATGTATGTTTTGTTCCTCCTGTTAAATTGTGATGAATACATCAAAACCGTAACGAAAGCGTTGAAGTGATCAGCCTGTAATATGATATGAGTAATAACACTTACTCGCACAAAAATGCATCGGCTTCATCAATGAAAAGCAATAAACCTCTCTTAGATTTTTTCCCCCAATCAAACAGTTCGTGAATTTTTGTAACAGCCTGAGATCCAAGGGGAGCAACATCTCCACCCGTCATCAATGCATAATCCAAACCCTACCACAATTACAAACATTAGAAATAACAAGAATAGATGAAGTAACAAAACCCAAGAAGGCCATGAGCAACCTAGAACTAAAATCTCAAGTTCAACCTTCAGATGCAATCATGGAAAACACAGCAACAACAATCTTCTGTTCTACTGTCATAACTCTACATGCTAGAGATTCCAACGTCCATTTGGATGTCTTATATAATTTCTTTTGCAATAACTGAAACCAATATGGAAAGAATACATACCGATTTACGAGCCAGCTCTCTGGCAGCCATTGTTTTTCCTGTTCCTGGAGGACCGTAGAAAAGCATATTTCGGAAAGGAGCCTGGTGGGATTTTGTGTTGGCAGTTGCATTTGCTAGCTGTTCAATTCTCTTATGTAGAGAAGGATGCAAAATAACATCACCAAACCCTTTTCCGTTTTTGGAAGCTGACTCTTTACCGCGTAATGTGGACATTACACGAGAAAAGTAACCAGACCAAGGGTACTTGCCTCTCGATGATTCTCGGATTAAGGATGGTTGTCCTAAAATTCTGTCCACGTAGCTCCAGATAACCTTTGCACCTTCTCTGCAACAAGCAATTTAGCAGCCGACTAAGTTTATATTTCAATATTGCAGAACAACTGACTGACAGAGCGTAGTAACATAATCAAGAAATGTAAAACGAGGAATTCTTAGCTACTTCCTCAACCTTTCAGCAACAAGAACTCCCTTTAGACTAAATAACTAGTCTTTACCTCGTTGTGTAGATTCCAGCTGCGAGAGCGGTGACACCTCCAACAGCAACAATCAGTTTATTTTGATCCGTCAGAATTGCCCGCAACCCGCCTAGGAAAACAAAGAGTAAAGTGTCAAACACCTGTCAAAAATGATTAGAGCTTCCATTATTAGTGCAAAAGGGACACGTCATGTATACATTAAGAGATCACACATCTATTCTAATCACTAATTCATAGCACACGAGTACTTTTCAATGGGTAATATCTAATTCTACAGGTTTGCTATGCATGCAATTAATATCGCACCTCCAATATGATCGAATGTAGTGTTTATGGCAGCAACCCATTTCTCTCTTTCTGCGTTTGCACGGTCAACAAGCATTCTCCTGTTTACATCTTCAGCAAGCCTTGCTTCATGGGCTCTCCCTTCCGCTTCTGCTATAGCTTTGACCCTGATTGTCTCACGTTCAATCTCAGCCTTCTCCCTCTCAGTTTGTCGTCTCTGTGCCTGGATCTGTTCCTCAGTAGCTCGTCGAGCTTGTTCCTGCCTAATTGCTGAATCTTCTTGCATTTTCACGAGTTCTTGATTTCTTGTTCTATGGAACTCATTTTCAGCCTGTAAAACGATATACACAACAAAAATTTAGAAAGAAGAAAAAGAATCTCCCCATGTTGTAAAATTGCTTTGAAAGTTGCATGCCTGCATCCTCTTTCTTGCTAAGTCATCTTCATAACGAGCCATCTGCGATTTTGTCTGTGCTTGGTGCTGAGCAAGTTTTTTCTGCTCATCGTATATCACCTTATGCCTCTCCTGTAAAATGAAAATGTCAGGCACACAACTTCACAACCAAGAAGCATCTAATCCAAACAGTAAAATGATGCAGAGAAAGTGTCTCATACTGCTCACTGATTGATGTAGTGGAAGCAGGGTTTGTCTTTTATCTATTTTCAAATTTACTAAGATAACAGTATAATCTCATTTCTATTAGGTAGTCATAGTTGTAACACCAATAAATATAAACAGACCAAATATCGAAATATCGGATAATGAACTTTAAAGTTAGTAGATCTCACAGTTTCAGCTTGGGATTGCAGAGCTTTAAACTCTTGCGCCTTTGCAGCAAACTCAGTTTGCTTTGTCTCTTCTTGCAGCTTAATACTTTCAAAAACCTGCATGAATCAAACACATACACACCAACTGTGAGCTCGATAAAGCACACAGAAAGAGAACATTTATCTAACACAGAGTTCTACGACTCAAAGCTGTCTCTCTTAGCTTCATGATACAAAATTTATAACCTAAAAGAATCCATTTCTCAGCTTTCACTTCCCTAAACGAAGATTCAGTATAGATAAACTCTTATCTGGTAGAGAAATTCTTATGTAGCTTTTCCTAAATCGAAGCATGATTCAATTGTTCTAGAGAAGATCAAAACACACAAAATTCGTAAAAGCTTTAATACCTTTTTCGCGTAAGAGGAATTGTTGATCTCCTTCAAGGCCTTAGCTCCTCGCTCCAGTGCCTCCGGATCAAATCCACCGGAACTCGTCCTCGGATTATCATTCCGAGATTCTTTACCAGTCGTCGGCGGTGGCTTCTGAGTTTCCGACGGCGGAGGAGAAGCAGCCTGCTGCTGCTGAGGATTCGGAGAAGGAGAAGAAGTAGAGAATCCAGAGAAAGTGAAAGGACCATCTGCAGAAGCGACTTTCGATTGCGCAAGAGAAGCCGAAGCTGCTAGGGCTGAAATTAACCCAATCGCACATTTCTGAGCCATGATTCCTGAAGAAAAAACTTAGGGTTCTTCAGGATTCGAGAATGTTGTAAAGAAAAAAAGGTTTATGTAGAAGAAATTGGCTTGGAGAAGAAGAAATTCAAAGCCGAAATATCTATCAATTGCCCACAGAAACCTCACAGAGAAGAAGAAGCTTCTCAAGGTTTTGGTAGGGTTTCGGCGGGACAAATAACCCGATGCCGGTTTAGGTTACGGGTCGATTTCTGGTTATTTAACCCAATAACCCGACCCGATTTTATCCCCTTAAGATGTGAATTTAAAGAATGAATTAAGAAAAAAAAAACCATACGATAAATTTCATTAAATTTCGACCAAAAAAATAAAATTGCATTTAAATACCATAGATTAACAGTAGCAACATAAATAATAACTTCATCAATAGACCAAAGATTACAAAATTTAAAAAGACATTAAAAATTTGTCCTTTTCCAAAAATAAAAAAAGAAACAATGAGAGAAGATGTTCTTGAACTATACTGTGTTCTTGGCCAATCTCTGTCTCCAGCTTTTTAAGACTCACAATCTTTGAACAGAAGAAATAATTTTTATAAAGGAATGTAAAAAGATTTTGAGTTTTTGATATCCAAAGATTTTAGGTTTTGAGAAACCAAACCTATAAATCATGGGAAAGTGAAAGATCCTCCAATTTCAGTAGAACCAGCTGGTGGATTAATGGCAACCCAAAGCAGAGAAATGGTGATGGCGACAAGTCCAGACCAAACATAAACAATGGTCGGAGTTCTTCCTCTTCTTCCCATAAGACCTTTAGCGAAAGGATAAAGATGAGCCAAGACCCAGAAACTGAAGAACACTCCTCCAATCAACTTACTCCACTGAGGAATCACACTGTATATCGTCCTGCTAAAACCGACCGCAATGGCGATTAGATTCACCATCATGATTGTAATCGGTGGGATCATGAGTGATGTCCATTTCACTATGTAGAGATCTGCATATTCGTCGTCTACATCGTCTCCTCCGGATTTAGATGTCAATGTGAATGAGATTTCGATTCCGGCAACCACTTTGAGCAGTCCTTGGATAACCGCGGCTAAATGTGCGCTTGTTCCTCCGATGAGCCAGAACTGTTCGTTTCGCCACCATTCCTCAAGTGAGATTCCTGACCATTTGATCTCGAGGAGAGCTAGTAAGCAAAGTGTGATGGAGATGATCAAGAGGTAGCAGAGGAATGTGACATTGAGTGTTTGGACTATGAACTGGCCCGAGAAGAGGGAGAGCGCGGGGAGGAAACAGTAGACGATGAGGAAGAACGATGTGAACGGGTAGATTCCGACGTTCAGGTAAGCAATTCTCTGGAGGATTTTCATCCTCGGGCTAGCAAAGAAGGCGTTGTTTCTCGAGAAAAAGATCTCGACTGAGCCAGTAGCCCATCTGAGAACCTGGTGAAGCCTGTCAGTCAAGTTGATCGGAGCTGTACCACGGAAAGCATCCCGCTTCGTAACACAGTAAACCGATTTCCAGCCTCTGTTATGCATTCTATAACCTGTGACCACGTCTTCCGTAACAGATCCGTAAATCCAACCGATCCGAGTTCCCCATTCGGTTTTATCCTCATACCAACAAGAGATGACGGCTATGGCTTCCGCCACTGTCGATGCATCAAGAAGCTCTCGGGGAATGGTGAGAGCGCCTGGTGGTCGTCCATTCTGCACTGCTGGGTGATCTGCTAGAGGACGGCCTTGGAATTCCGCAACTGGGATTGAATCAATCAAGAACGTTGAGTTTCCAAATTTCTTAGGAACCAACGAGAGATTCATCTCTTCTTCATCCTCAGAGTCACCACCCATTCTCAAGGATCGGTTTTCTTCCGGCACACGGGTTTTCTTCTTCTTCCGAGGGAAGCAGCAAGTGCAGAATCCGGGATGATGTTCTTTAGCACGAGGCGGATCAAATCCGTACAATGCGATTCTTCTAAAGAGACAGCCAGTCCCGACATAAACCGGACCCATCAAACCATCAAGAGCTCTCATGTTCACATCAAAGAAGACAGTGTTGTGATTTGCATATCGATCAGACGGGTCAATACCTTCAAACCGCTGCGGAAACTGAACGTAGCAAAGGCGGTCACCGCCTCTATCCATCATGAAACACATTCCTTCTCTCAAAGCCTGGGAGTTGTATATGTAATGATCACAATCAAGATTGAGTATGAAGGGACCGTTGGACATAATGGCAGAAGCTCGGACCAGCGCATTCATGGCTCCTGCTTTCTTGTTATGATCATAACCCGGTCGCTTCTCTCGCGAAACATAAACAAGCAGCGGAAGACGAATATCAACATCTGTAAGATCTAAGAACCCTTCAGATACTCCATGTAATGGCTCATCACTTGGCGGCTTCAACATCACCTGCATTTATCAAAATTTTGAAAAACATTGATCTTAGAGATGGCATAGAAACTGAACCACACCATATTCGAACCAAAATTCTTAAACCTAATGTAACCAACTAAATCGAACCGAATATTTACCAACCCCAATCAAACCAAACACTGGTTCCAATTCAGCTG